CTCTAGCGATCCTTCCACCTCAGCCTTCCAAATAGCCGGAATTACAGGCATGCGCTACCGTGCCCGGCTGATTTTTTTATTTATTGTAGAGATGAGGTCTTGCCAAGTTGCCCAGGCAGTTCTCAAACCCGCGGGCTCAGGCAATCCACTCACCTCGGCCTCCCAAAGGCACGGGGTTACAGGCTGAGCCCACCGAGCCCAGCGAGGCCTATCCATTTTAACTTAATGACTACAGTATACCCTCTCCCATAACTGTGGTCCTTTTTATTAATATTGTTTTTAATTTGGGACTATCTTGTTAAATTTCTTATAATGGGATTAGTGCAGACATACTAGGAGGAAAAAAATCAGTCCCTAAGGAGCTCTTAGAGAAGAATCTCTAAGTTGCCCATAATTGTACCATCCCCATCCAGAGATAATTACTGTTAACATTTTGATATGTGTGTTTCTAGTCCTCTTCTCCTCTAAGTATGTGTGTGTTTTGTTTCTGGAGCATTGAATCTTCGTAATCTAATCATATAAATGAGTCAAAGATTGTCCACATTTTTTTTTTGAGTTGGAGTCTCACTCTGTTGCCCAGGCTAGAATACAGTGGCACACTCATGGCCACTCCAGCCTCGACCTGAGCTCAGGCGATCCTTCTGCCTCAGCTTGCTAAGTAGCTGAACTACAAGCATGCACCACCATGCCCGGCTCATTTTTTTTTTTTTTTTTTTTTGATGTATTGTAGAGGTGAAGTCTAACCACCTTGCCCTGGCTGGTCTCGAACCCCCTGAGCTCAGGTAATCCTCTCGCCTCCACCTCCCAAAGTGCTGGGATTACAGGTATGAGCCACTGAGCCCAGCTTCCAAATCTTAGTTTATAAAAGGAATCCAACCCAGCTATGGGACCTTATACTTATGTGCATGTTGGGGGGAGCCTTGCCAGTTTGCATTTTGCCTGGAAATATCTCTCCCATAATACTACTTTACAGGATTAGAGATTCATCATTTGAATCGGATCCATGACAACAAATTATCCAGAAAGACAGTCTTTTAGGATTGGATTTTCTAGGATTTTAGTGTTTCTGCCCCAGGACATGACAATAATTACTGATGAACACTCAGTAATCACTGGGTGCATTCCAATGTGGACTTTCCAGATAACATTAGTGAGGTTATGTATACAAGTAACTAAAATGGGCTGTATAAGTAACATTTCCAAGATATAAAAGAACAAGATGGCAATATTTTAAATGTTCACAAATATTTTCCATTTCATATAGTGTCCAAGATTCAGCCTCTTGTTAATGCTACCAGATTGGCACCTTCTCAGATTAGATTCGTTGTCAGATTTTTTTTTTTTTTTTTTTTTTTGAGTTGGAGTCTCACTCTGTTGCCCAGACTGGAGTGCAGTGGCCACTCCCGGCCCCCGCAGCCTTGACCTGCTGGGCTCCAGCGATCCTTCCGCCTCAACCTTCCAAGTAGCTGGAACTACAGGGGCATGCTATCACACCTGGCTAATTTTTGATTTATTGTAGAGATGAGGTCTCACCAAGTTGCCCAGCCAGGTCTCAAACCCACAGGCTCAAGCAATCCACTCACCTCAGCCTCCCAAAGCGCGGGATTACAGGCTGAGCCACCAAGCCCTGCTGTCACATTTTTTTTTAATGCAGAATTATGCTTCTATTTCCCTACAGTTGATGATACAATGGGAACATTTTCTTTTTATACATATTAAAATCTTTTTTACTAATATGGTTAAATAAAAGGAATTTCATTCTTAACATCAGACTCTGAAAGTTATTTGTGGTTAATATTGATTATACAGACAGCAAGTTCAAGAAACATAAATTTTACCACAAGAAAAAAGAAAATTGGTAAATTTGAATTGATCTTTGATAATAGTAGGTAGCTTGTCTTGAACAACTGTCACATGTTACTGAGTGTTTTACATAGATTATCTTACTAGTTGAAACTTCATGTCCCTTAGTATTTTTATTCCAGTTTTATCAGTGAGGAAACATACACTGTGAGGTTAGTAACTGTCAGAACTCAGATTCACATCTTGAAAGTCAGACCACAAAGCCTGTGCCCAGATTATATGAACTTTTTTATCTGCTGCCTTAACTTCATAATTTATCATAAACTTATTCTCAATTAATAAGAATCAGTATCATTATTAGTATGCCATGCCATTATATAGCAGGCCATGATTTATTTAATCTGTTCTCTACTGTGATATATTTCTGTTTCTATTTTTGTATGTAAACAGTATTCTCTGGAAATTGTGAATAATATCAAATGATTGGAATCCATATTTATCTCCTGGTTGTGATATTGCACAAGGCATCACCATTGGTGTAAACCAGATTATGGGTATATGGAATCTTTCTGTGTTATTACTCATAACTAAATGTGACTCTACCATTATCTCAACTTTTAAAATCTTTCCTAGAGGCCGGACTCAGTGGCTCAGCCTGTCAACCCAGCACTTTGAGAGGCCGAGGTGAGTGGATTGCCTGAGCCCGTGGGGTTTGAGACCAGCCTGGACAACTTGGCAAGACTTCATCTCTACAATTAATAAAAAATTAGCCAGGCATGGTAGTGCACTCCTGTAGTTCTAGTTACTTGGAAGGCTGAAGCGGAAGGATTGCTGGAGCCTAGCAGGTCGACACTGGGGTGGCTGTGAGTGTGCTATTGCACTCCAGCCTGGGTGACAGTGAGACTCCAACTCAAAAAAATAAAATAAAATCTTTCCTAGAAAAGTAGTTATTGTCTGATCATACTTGACCATATACATTTGTGTACTACTACTCTACCCTTTTTCTTAGCTTAAATTCCATAGGTGGAATTTTTTTTTTTTTTCTGAGTCATGAGTCTCACTTGGGCTGGAGCACAATGGCACACTCACTGCCCCTACAGCCTTGACCTGCTAAGCTCAGGCGATCCTTCCACCTCATCCTTCCAAATAGCTGGAAACACAGGTGTGTGTCACCATGCCTGGCTAATTTTTTTTTAATTTATTGTAGAGCCGAGTTCTCACCAAGTTGCCCAGGTTAATCTCGATCCCCTGGGTTCAGACAATCCTCTTGTCTCCACCTCCCAAAGTGCTAGGATTACAGATGTGAGCCACCATGCCTGGCCCAAAGGTGGAATTTTGAGTCAAAATCAGGTTTTTGTTAAGTCCTGTACTACACCAGACCCTATGGATGTTAGGACTTGGAATGAGAGTATGACTAAGGGATGCAGTTGCTGCTTGTATATTGTTTATAACCCAGCAAGGACGGGAAACTGACTAGAAGAAGCTCAAGGCAGACTGTGACATGCCAGGTGATATGCCCTGGTAGGTGATCAAAAGGGGACATCACTCTGAGGACAGTGTGTCCTATCCAGCACCACCCCTATACAGAGGCTGGCAGAGGTCTGGTTGGGGTGACAGTCCCTCTACACCCAGGAAGGGGTATCTCCAGAGAGCAGGATGCACTTGTAGAGAGACATCCCACCCTGGACACTGTTCTTGGACCCATGGTCAGGGCCCTGCCTGGAGAACCTTCTGGGCTACATTTCCCAGGGTTTCTGAGACCAGTCCCATGAGGAACACACTGAGCTGCATGCTGGGACACGGGGGTTTTTAAGCTCTGATTCTGCAAGACACTGTCTGGCATCTTCTTCAACACTTGCTCCCCCTCCCTACATCCCAATGGTGCTTGGGCCAGAGCAGGGAATTGTTTACTTCCGAGGAGGACCTTGGGACCCCAAGGGTGCAGTGAGGGGGCCACATGGGTGAGAGGGTGCCAGACAGAGCCTGGACTTGCACCTTTGGGACCTAGAAGAACACATGTCTGTGCATCAGTGTGTGTACACTCGATGGTGTCAGTCTGCGTGTGAGAAAGAGACTGCATGACAGGACATGCCCTGTCCCTGAGACTGTGATAAACTTCCACGTAAGAATATGTGTGAGGTGATGCAGCCAGGCTGTCCTCATAACTGACACTTGTGTGTGTGATTATTTTGGGGAGTGATGAGGGCCATGCAGGATGAGCATCTGTATTGGTAACAGTATTGGTGACACAGCTAGCTGTATCTCCATGACTCTTTGCAGGATAAGATACATGCATGTGGGCTCCGTGGGGTGACATGGGGACAGGACATTTGATTACGTGATGCATTTGCTTAAAAGCATAGGAGAGAAGATAGGCAGTGCTTCATCTCTGTAACTGTGACACAGGTGTGTCCAAGTGTCTCTGCTGGTGAAGGGGCGGGTGTGTGATCATTTTAGGGGCTGACTCTGCTCTGTTAGGTATCTGTGTGGGGGATGTGTGGGGTTGGTACAGCCAGGATGTATCTGCACTGTCGTTGGGATGACAGAGCTGGCAGTGACTCTTTGGCCTGGTTGTCAATAAGCGTGACAGGGTCTGCGATTGCGAGTCACTGACTTTCAGGATTGTGTTTGAGTGATTGGGGTATATGTGACAGTGTAATCTGTATTTCCAGTGACTCTGCTTCTTCCTCTGCCTTCACCTTCTATCTTTGTGGCACCTACCTGGGAACAGGGGCTCCGATGGAATGTGAGAGCCAAGACCTTGTCATGAACTTGCCGGACAAAAAGGGCATAGGCATAGCCATGAGATAACAATTTTAGAGCCAGAGTGCCCTGCATACAGGCTCCTGCGTAACAGGAACAGAAAGACTCCGAAGTGAGATTCCCTTTTGCAGGGAAAACTTGGTAGGTGAGGGGAGGGAATACCTACATGTTCCAGAACCCCAGTTAATGCAGCTTGGTCCCCAGGATCTCTGAAATGCTGGCTTATTTTGATTGGATTTAGCTATGACCTAGGGGCAGATGTGCCCTGGAGGGTATTTTCTAATGTAGCCTGTGCTCCAGAAAGACCCTCGTTATGTATTCTTATCCTCCTCTTTTGTTACCCATCTTAAAATCAACTTCCAGGTGAGTTATCTTTTTGTTCACTAAATGATTTCTGTTTACATGACTTAGAAGTAATTGCCTTTTTTTTTTTTTTTTTTAGAGGGAGTTTGGGGGGGGCTTGCTCTGTCCCTTAGTCTGCAGCCTCAAACTTCTGGGCTCAAGTGATCCTCACACTGCAGCCTCCTGAGTAGCTCAGCCACAGGTAGGTGCCACCGTGCCCAGCTGTTTTTTTTTTTTTTTTTATGACCAAAAATATTCTTCCTACAAACAGCATATCCCAATAATTTCTCCCCAAGAGGTGTGAAAGGGCCAGGCAGATGTATCCCCCTTTATGCACTCTGTTTTGACCAACCCTCGCCTTTGAGTGTTTACATACTTATTTGTCAACAATTTGTCCTCCTGTGTGCTCTGGTTTTCTAAGTTATAGAAAAATAACTCGTAGAGGTTAATATTACGTGTAAATGCTTTATTTTACAGTATTGTTTCTTTTCTTTTCTTTTTTTTTTTTTTTTTGAGTTGTTGTCTCACTCTGTCGCCCAAAGTGAAGTGCAGTGGCACGCTCATGGCCACCCCAGCGTCCACTGCTAGGCTCCAGCAATCCTTCCACCTCAGACTTCCAAGTAGCCAGAACTACAGGCACGCTACCATGCCCAGCCAATTTTTCTTTTTTTGAGTTGGAGTCTCACTCTGTCACCCAGACTGGAGTGCAGTGGCC